TTTCACCCTTGCGATCACTGAGACATCACTGAACAGTTGGCGTCTGGTTGTCATAATGAAGTCAATCCCATTTTTCATTTCAAAAAATATTTATATAATTAAAATTCGATTAACTAAATCTTGCATTTATAGAGAAACATTTAAAAACACAAAAAAATTACAGGCGAACGTTATGATTTGACTTGTCCCCTGGTCTCTTTGGAGGATTTACGATGAAATAGAAATGTGTGTGTTTGCCTTAGGAATGTAATTTTTTGGCTATTTATTGCATATTTCTTCCTAAAACAGATAATATGCTCTAAGCCTTTTAAGACACGGTATAATTTTCTAATTTCTGTTTTTTACATTGTCCCTAGAAAATGGCATGCCGGAAATTCCGGAGTACCGTCACGGCAATTTTTATACTCTAAACAAATTAATTTTTAGTCTATTTATATCGTTTTGTATTGGCAGCACTCATATTGACAATGTGAACTGCCACCGTTTTGCTACAGCTCTTCCAGTGTCGACTATTACGTGACGAAAGCAGTCGTGTTGTGCGAAGTCAAAAAGTTTGTTCCAGATTGTTACGTCTGTTTATATTGGTGAGTGCTATCTTATTGTTGAATGAATAGCATTAAAATATAAATTAGCTTGTAAAGTACTTGAAATCAGTAAAATAGAATGTTTAAAGTTTATGTCTGATTTAATAATAATTTTCAAACTTTTTGAGCGAAGATTCGTCACGTCCAGATAGTCACGTGATTTATTACCGGAAAGAATTTCGTGACGTCTGGAATTATAAGGCAATATGCACATGTATTTCCAGCAGTGGATATCGATCGGTTTATGATGATGATGATGCACATGTATCATAAAATGGTGCACACACATGAAATCCTGTTATCTTTACATAAATCTAAACGTAGGTTTAAAAAAGTTAGTAGTTATTATGTATGAAATACCTATAGAAATTTCATTTTATCACCATGATTAATTTTTTTGAAAGAGCCTCCTAGATACTAGATGGATTTTACTCAAGAAACGGAATAACTTTTTTAGATAGGTACCCATTTAAAGAAAATAAATATAAAGAATATTTTATATAAAATATAAGTCATATACAAGCTGTATGAAACATTAAATTTTTTTAATCATGCAAAGTTAAAATAACAAAAGTCATTCAGTTTCATCAGTAAAATCCACTTTGTAAGTAGGTTTAGCCTTTCCAATACAGGGTGTAAAGGACGGTTATCCTTTAAATTTGCCAGTGCACTCAGAAAACTACTCTGACTTCAAAACAAGTGGAATTTCTTATTTTGAATTTTTTACTATTTTGACAAAGAAGTCTTAAAAAATTGCTCTGTGGCTATTTAAATGACCTTAATAGTGTAAGCTATGTATATTGAAGTGTATGTTAGTTGAAAAGAAGATGTTTTAACTTACTGAAAGTAACAGAGAAAGAATTAGAGCGGTTTTTAACTAAATATAGACAAACGGAAATCTCCCAAATCTCTTTCCCTGTAGATTTCCGATTAAAAATTCCAACTGTCTGAGATTCAGAATAATGGTCTAAATTTATGGTGTAATTTAAAGGACTGTTTAGTGAATGGTCACTTACATCCTTTATACTGAGGGGTGAAATTTTAGAATAGATATTTAGTAATATTATATAGTATTTCAGGTTTAAAATTTAATATTTAAGTTTTCAATTTCACTATATTTTTTTGAAGAAATGGTGTTCACTGTAGTAAAAAATACAGAGAACGATTAAAATCAGAAAGACCTGAAAAATATGAAGAACAGCGCCAGAAACAACTTCAAAGATTAAGAAAGATAAAAAAAAAATAATGACTTGACAGTCAGAAAAAATTTAAAGAAAGAGAGTGGAGAGCAGAAAAAAATAAGCAAAAACAAAAGAAAAAAGTAAACAAGAACGAAGAAAAGAATAGAAATTCAGACAGAGTATAACTTTCTTTAAAAATAAAATACGCTAAATTATTGTCAAGGTACAAAAATACTTTACAAAAGATACGTAAACTAAACACTAAAACAGAAAAACAAAAACAAACAATTATATCGTCAAAATCTAGCTTATGAAAAGGAGACCAAGAAAAACAAAATACTATAGACAGACTAAAAGGTCGACAAGAGATGCTAGAATTGTCATTGCGGAAAACCTGTTTAAAAACAAAGTCGCATTAAGAACAAAAATTGATAGAGAACATGGTTTTAAATGATTTAACGAAAAAGTCCAAATCCACGTTATAATCACCCACAAAGTATACTGAAAACATCGCAACGTGTCACTGTTCTGTACGGAGCTTTATGTTTCCCGATAGTCAGGCGAAGTTCTTGATAGTCACGTGTCCCTAAATACTTGTGTTGATTTTTTCAAAAATCCGTATTTATTTATTAGAAATTAGTGTCGTTTTTATTGCAAAAACATACATTATAAATTAAGTTAACCAATTTAAAAAAAAATTATTTTTTAAATGCTATTGTTATTAAAATAAACTGATTCTTCCTCATTGAGTTGATAAAATTCGTGAATAACCAGAAATAATTGTGCTTATAAAACAATATTTTCTTTTACGTGTGAATTTTTAGCCATACTTAAAGAAAGCTTGCATTAATGTTTATAGTTCGTGCCACGCGTGTTGAAATAATATTATTAATAGAAGAGCATACGCGCATGCGGCTTACCTGATAGTAAGTGACTACCGCTGCCCATGAATAACCGCAACACCAGGGGAATCACAGGTTCATTGCCAGCCATTTAGAAAGGAGTAAGCTCTTTTCTTGACGGTCCCTAAGTCTTATCGAAGGTGGTAAACAATTCCACAGAGAAGTTATATGAGGAAGAAAACTCCTAGTAAAACGCACGATAGAAAATGCAAAGGGATGCAACATTCCTACGCAGCGCCAGTGAATCGAGTCGATCAGAAAGAACTCAGTGCTCGAAGATTCGCTACGTTGGATGCGGTCAAGTTGAAGGTGCTGGCACTGGGGTACTCTGGCCCAGAGATAAGAACAGTATTCCATGTAAGGCCGAACTTGCGCTTTGTAAAGTTGCAAGCGATGTGCCGGCATTAAATACTGTCCTGCTCTGCTGAGCACGCCAAGCTTTTAGAGGCCAATTTGGCCTATGGCCTACCCTTCCAAATGACCACGAAACTGCACACTAATCGATATGTCGACGCCGAGGATTCCGATGCTAACTGAGGTAGCAAGGGGAGTGCCTTGCAACTGAGGACATAAGACAGAGCGGTTCCTTCTAGAGGTAAACTTGTGTCTTTTGGGGATTGAACTGGACTAGATTTAGTCGCCCCCAGTCCGAGACTTTGTTCAGCAAAAACTCGACTTCAGACACAAGTTTGTCCCGGTGCTCGACGACGTTTAACCGAGAAATATTGGCACGGCCGGTGTATAAGGCATCACCAGTGCTGTCGTCTGCATAGCACGCAGCTCTGTGGAACACCAGCGTTAATAGACTAGTAATAAAATTCACGAATAACGTGACAGGGGTCGCGTCGCGCGTCGTGGTCTTACTGCTCTGTTTGACCCGAGCAGTTTGAGACGCGAACGGAATTCTCCCCCTCCCCCAGAATACGCGACTAACAAAATAAATACCTTTGCGTACAGATCATCCATCAAATTACAACTTCTAAAAAAATTGTCAAATGCTTGCTGCACAAATTCACGACGGAGTTGTAGCCCAAGCGTCATGTTCTACGCTATACTACCATAATATAACCCTTGTCAGTATATATTTGAAATTAATACATATATCCTGTTCTAGTCACATCTTACCCAAATTATAAATCCCCTCTTAATAGATTTTTAGGCATATACTGTTTTAAACTACTCCGTCCTTTAAATACCATGCACTCCTCTACTGATTGTGTGTTCAAATCAGTCATTCGATTTTTAAGTGTTAATTCTGTTATTAAAGGACGCAATTTGAATACTTTATTTGTAAAATTTGGGGAACCTCGTGGAGGCTCCATCTCATTGTCGTTTAAATGCAAATTTTCAATTATCGTCTTAAATCTATTAGCGTAAAAAACGTGAGATATTGGGATTGTTGTAAAATGAATCACTAGACCAGTGGTGGGCAAACTTTTTTAATGGCGGGCCACAAAGTGTAAGAAATTCTAGAGGAGGGCCAAAATTATAGAAAAAATGCATTTTGTGTTAAACTCAATTATACGGACTATATACTATCCATGTTGACGGAACCTCGGCGGGCCGGAGTTGGCCCGGGGGCCGTACTTTGCCCATCATTGCACTAGACCAATATGAGTCCATATCTGGAAGTGGGTTAGGGCCACTGACCTCTACTTGTATATATAGAGGTCAGTGGTTAGGGCCCATCATAAGAACTCCCAAATAGGATTTGATTTCGTCAAATGAAATTGGTGTCCAATTGTTACTTTTGGTTTGGTCTGCATACGTGTTTGACCACAATTAATTATATCAAATAATCAGAGAACTTTTATTTGTACCCAATTGATGAATTATTTAAAAAGCAAAAATAAATAATTCAGCTGAACCCTGGTGGCTTTTCCACAGAAGCCACTAAGAATCTCTGTTCTAGTCTACTACTTACCATCAGGCGGGATTTTAATCGACCAGGGTGCCCGGAATTGCTAAGGCCGACTATGACAAGAGGGTAAAACAAGCAGACGGCTGCCTATCAATAGTTATGTAAGTGGATGCTTTGGTTCATAGGCTTCTTATCCTTGATATTTTGTATTTTTATGCCGACGTACTACTACTACAAAAATAAAAGTAAAACATCTTTTTTCGTTAAATATTTATTGACATAACATATTAGCACACAACACCTAGTAACATATTCGTAGTCATCTAAGCATCTAACATTAGCAAACAAATTCATTCATTAGTATTCATCGTATTAAGCATATAAAGTTAAAGATAATTAACAGTAAATGTCTGTTTATTATTTAAAAATTAGTGAGGTAATTAGTACATATATTATGTACGATATAAATCAATTACAATTTGTAAGCTTGACGCATCATTAAGTCGAAGTAGCAATCGTTGTCAATGGAGACACTGATGCCACTGTAGAAGTTCATAAACTCTTCAAGTGTTACCTGAAACAAAAAACGTTGTATAAATTATATAGTATAAGCATTTATGTAAGTTTTTTTGTTCTTGGCAGATATTTTTTTGTAGTCTATATATTTGTTTTTGCATGGGTTCTTACTTTATAGTTATTCTAAATCAGGTCTAAATAAGACTGTAAATGACTGTTTTCCAAATGATCGAATTTTCATGTAACAATATATCCTCGTAGAGTCCATTGTCATTATCAGTAGGACTACTTTAGAATAGTCATTCAGACCCAATACCCCAACTACTAATAATAGTGACCCACGGTCCTACCAGTGGGACTTGTTGTAAATCTTAAAAATTCCGTTTTAAATTTCGCGCTAGGTAATATTACTAGATTATGGCAACACTAAACCTTGGGGAAAAAAAGTCATAATGTCAAAAACAGTGAGTACCATGGCAGGTTCAGGAAAAAGAGGTGAGTTAATCATATAACATTCAAATAATCTTAATAATTATTGTCTTTTGTGTAAATAAAATGTTATTTTTAATGGCTGCTTTGTGGATGTGTTCACTTATTAACGAAACATGTCGTTGATCAATTAAGTCCTACGGATAGGACCACGTACAACATTGCACATTCGTCGACAAGTAGACTGTACCATCGACCTCCGGTCTGAGCAGGGGGGTGATGTGGCGGCGCTGTAGTCGCACCACAAGCGAAACACATCGAAGCCTAAATCGCGTTATCAAAGTTCCGAAGTAAAAACAGTATATATATAATAGCTCCGAACTTACACCCGGAGCGTTGGCCGCTCCGCGGGCAGAACAGCTTGCTCGGTGGGAGATCTCCCCTTTTCCTCCCACGGTCACACTACAATTATTTATACTCGAAGTGTTATTGTTTTTATGAAAATTACAGCAATTGATATTTTTTTTACCACTAGACATCAGTCTCCCAAAGATTGAATACAAAGGTATAGTGAAATATCAATGTATACATTTCTCTGCTGGGTTATATGAAAGCATGCTTTTTTACTGATTTAACCGATAAAGTAATTGGATTTGCTCTCAGCGGTTCAGAAATGGATGTCATAGATGAAGTCGAAGATATCATCGAAGATCAAAATACACGAGACGGAGATTCGAAAGGAGACTGAGATTTTGTAACTGTTTTTAGTTTTTTAGTATTTTTATGTCATGTAAGCACCTATAGGTCATTATTACTTTAATGCTATATTGTCAGTTAGAAATATTAAGAAAAAGACCGATAGAAGAGAAGATGGAGAATTTTAGAAGGCCAACAACAAAAAAGTTCACTTTTATGTTTAGCCTGATGTGTCTGTAGTTAAAATAACAGTAAAAATAGCCTCATATGAAAGCTAACAATAATTTTGATTACAAGTAAAATAAAAATTATAATGATTATAACCATACATTTTATAAAATTTTCAAATTAATCATAAAAATTCAATCGCATGTAAACGGAACCCGAGGTCCTACCAGTAGCACTTATTATTTTTAAATTTGAGGTTCAAAAATAGTCTTAAGATGATAAACCAATACATGCTAAAACAATGAAAGAGGTGGAAATTGTTGAAGTTTAAAAGAAGATCTAATGCTGCTGGGTCTGAATTTACAGACGTAGTCCTACAGTTATCACCGGGGGCTTCAATTATTAACAAGCTATACGAAAATACAGCCAACTGTCTATCTCACGATATCTTTCTTGCAGATGTCTCACGTCCAATAACTAATAAACAATAAACCACAAATAAATCGAGACACGGAAATCATCAGAGCGTGAGCGCGTACGCCCGGAATGCCGACGAATCTCTCCGTTCGTTCATTCGAGTTTCGCAGGTTTACCCGTGAATGGTTTCACATACTCTTGAACTCTCTCTTCAAAGTTCTTTTCAACTTTTCCTCACGGTACTAGTACGCTGTAAGTCTCGCGGTAATTTTTAGCCTTAAATGCTTATTATTAACTCTAAAGGACAAATAACATTAAGCTTTAAATGCAATATTAGTATATTACCGATCCGTCCTTATCCCCATCAACTTCGAAGTTAGCCAAAAACCTGTTCATGACCTTAGCAGCAGTTTCCTCTCCACTCATGTATCTGGAAAATAGATTTATTACCATTTAAAAATAGATTATAAAAGTCTGCATTGTTATTTATGTACACTTTATTATAAATTTACAATGATTAAAAATATTAGATTAAATGAAAAACTATAAATACGATTAATTTTCTGCTGAAACAAGCTAGTGATCGGGGAAAAATAGATGTTTTCTTCATTTCCTGTAATTTTTAAAAAATTTAGGTTCACCCTTATAATGAACGAATTATGTATTTTGTAAGTTAATGATTGAAAAAACAACAAAATTGACACTATCCGATAATCCTAACAGATAACATGGTTGAATTGATAACTTTACACTTCTTTGATATTGATAAATGAAAATATTATAAGAAACTTGTTACATGTACCTACACATTCATTTCATTTTACATGGTGGAGCTACACTACAGCTATACAATGGTTTCAGTACGAGTGGGTAAGATTGGTTCTTCCCCGGCTAAGCTACCAAGGAAAAAGCAATCTTAAAATTGCTTAATGTTGCTGTGTTCCGTACAGCGAGTGTAGACAATTAGAGATCCTTTTTATTATATCCATTCAATCTTAGTCTTCAGGTTTGACAACACATCTAGTAATTGATGTTAAGTGTAGGTACCGATGGGCCGTAGCGACTATGATGTGCTTGTTTGTCGTTATTATTATTAGTATAAAATATCATATACAGAGATATTTTTCAAAGAGTAGCCAAATTTTAAAGTTCAAATATATAAATAATGATATAACTTTATTGCAGTTTTTGAAAATACCAGTAAATAAGGCTTTTATTTGTATTTAAAATTATCCCAAACTGAATATGTATGTGCGCAGTAAAATCAGTTATAATTATTAATTAACACGCATTTTGAATTAATCATAAAAAGGACGGACTGTTTGTCATTTTTTTAATTAATTTTTCTTCACCATTTGCCTATATCACTTATTCTGAACCTTCTCTGCAAATTTGGTCTATATGGTCAGGCGAGATGCTCACTCATAATATACCAAAGTAGCCTATTTAATAAGGCTTACCAAAAAAAGCGAAGCGCCGCGGCGCGTTTTTACTCATACTCTAACAATCAGCCGTGACATAGTTTCCAGTACCCACAATCTATTTCACAATCATGTCAATGATTGAAGAAATTTTAAAAGTTGAATTTTAATAATTCTAGTAAAGGTTTAGTGTCATAGGTACATAATGTTTTGTGTTTCTCAATTATTATTTGTTATTCTATTTTATACATTATATAAGTAAATGCACTGCATTAACATACTTGATTTAATATAATTTGTATACACTATAAAAAATATTATAGTGTGAAGCAAAATCTGACCGTCACGGACGCAAAGCTTTTGACCAGAAATGAATAATGAGAATAATAATATCAGGACATGTTTAGTTGAAGGTTGTCTTGAATTAGCTATTTAAATACAAATGACTAGCTGGTACTCGACGTCTTGCAGCCGCAGAAAAAATAATTACAAATATCGTTTTTAAATTTGAAGAGTTATATTGTTTAATTAGGAATTATAATACATTAATAAAATCGAATAATATATAACTTTCCAATATTTTTTAAGTACGACACGCGCGCCATTTACTGTAAGTTAATTGTACTATGCCTATGTATACGCGCAAGTGCAAGCAATAAGTTGATAAGTTTTACCGTCATCTGATGAACAGTATGGCAGCGCATAACATACGAACAAACAAACATTAATTTTTATATATTAGAAGATATTAGCTTTGACCATAGAGAACATGACAGTGCTTTGCAACAAGGACTATAACTTTAAATTATATTAATTATACTATACTATGTAATAAATAAATAAAACAATAGGTCTTACAATGGATGAGAGTTGACGTTGTAAACTTTACGAATGTCATTAACATTGATGACGCCATGTCCATCTTTGTCAAACTTTCTAAAAACTTTCTCCACAATAGCGCGCCGTGAGTCTGACATTGGTGGCTGGAAACAAGTACATAATTCAGTTACACTTTATGATTTACTTAAATAAATACTCAGTCTGATTATCAATTGCATCAGAATGATCACAAAAACATCTTAATTAAGAACCTATTAGATTAGTTAATGGTATTTCCTCCGACATGGTTGGATCATTTCTCAAACCAGACAAAAATATCACTTCATCATCACAGTTAGACTGTGTAACCTTTTTAATCTCGCGCAAGCTAACAAGTGTAGGTGTAACAAGATAATGGCAATCCCTCCGACATTGTTGGGTAATTTCTTAACTCAGTCAAAAATATCTGTAACAGTTAGATTGCAACCTTTTTAATGTTGTCCCAAATAACGTAGGCACGGTAATATTATCTATACAGTATTGTAACTCGTATCTTTCAAATAAATGCCTACAGCCGTGCGGCACGTAAACATGTGATAGGGCTACCTGCCTCCAGCATTTTTACATTTGCCTACTTTGTGTTTCCATTTAGTTTTATGATTGTAAATATACTTTTTATATAAACAAATAAAATAGGTACTTTGTGAATTGAATAGGAAGTGTTCAATAAAAATGCGTGTCGTTTTTTGATTGGTAGATTTAATTAAAAACCATGTTTATGTTTGAATAACAAATCGGTTAAATAAATTTGCGACCGAAAAATATTTGCACCTCGGTTGAGACTTACGAAATGCTTTATTACTAGATTTTTAAATATAAAAAATCCGCTTTCTAATATAAAGCTAAAAATAATATAAATTAATAGATAATATTACCGTGACGTAGGCGTAGAAATCATTCACTGTCATTGAAATAGTGTCGGATAAACACGCCCGTGAGTCATGCCACGCTGGTTTTCGATTCTATAACGGCAATATGTATGTCGCAGGTTTATGGTAAAATCAGGTTCTTGAACAAAATCCTAAGCTTTTTTAATCAAAAACCGGAAGAAGACAAAATTATTACTTAACCTTATCTAATCTTTTTCAGGTTAATGACAAGATTCTTGATTTCTGATCAAAAACCTGAGACTTGTTGAGGTTTATGATAAAATTTAAGTTTAGGTTAGGTTATTTGTTTTATTTCAATCTAGGTTTTTGATTACAAAAAAAATGGATGTTCTCAAGTTAATGTTAACATAGTGATTTTGTCTCCTTCCGGTTATTGCCTGCAGTTTGAATTTTGACAGTATGATCTTTCTGACAAAAACATATTTGTTAAGTACTGGTGCCTTATTTCTACATTGGTTTCCAAATTCTTCAAGAAAATGATTGATAGTAAAAGGCGCGTATACGGGGCGTCTTACAGGTTTTTTCTTTTATCTTCGTTTACTTGTGACTAAATAAACGCAGATAAAAGAAAAGTTGCGACGAACGTGTATTGAATCAGGAATAAGTTACATTTGCCGCTTTCCGTTAGGCACACGCCCTCACGCACAAGCGTATAAAAGTTATACATTTCAAATATAAAATTATTAAAATCAAGGAAATTTGTAAATTACTTACACGGATTTGTTTGATCAGCTCGTCAAAACTGATGAATCCGCTATTGTCGATGTTGAATCTATCGAATGTTTCTTCAGCTTCCTAGGAATTGCAATAAAATGAAAAATTAACTTATCAATTTCATTCATTTCGTCACTATAGATCTATCTTATTTAGACTTGCAACGAATATTCGGCCATTCTTCGGTATTCGGCCTATTCGACTACTTCTACTCCAAATATACGACTCCTAATCGGTCTAATATCGAATATCTAGGCAATATCGAATACTTAAGTAAGAGGTTTTATTGTAGTCAAATAATTGATAAAATGAAAATATTTATTTTATTTTATAATTAATTTTTTTTCTTGTGATCGTAAAGTAGTCATAGGTATATATATCAAGGCCACAACAAAATGTAAATCTGGAAAATCTGTTGGTCTTTCCCCGCCACCTGGGTAAGACTAACAATTAATGTTTTACTAGATTTATGCAGTTTCTGAAAAAAAAAAAAGTAAATGTTAACAGTAGTAACTTTTATTTTGAATCTTATGTATAACGTTAAAGGTTTCCTTTTTGAGTTATTTGTGTAAATATAAATAAGGGGCAAGGCCTAACATACAATCAAAATCAGGGGTACAAAATATTTTTTATTTTGTATTTATCAATATCAACTTTTCATAGCATTGCTCTTAAAATGTTGTTCTTTCTATTAATTTTCCTCTCCGGTAATATTAAGACAAATTTTACCCAATTTCATTCACGTACTTTTTTGGAGACTGTTGCAACCTACTTGTGCACTTGTATTCTCCACGTATTAAGCTATTGTGAGTGTGTTACATTTGTAATTACTAATTAAATAATTAGTATTGCTATATGAAATCGTCATAAAATAGCTATCATGCACGCGTTTAGTGCCGGATTCAAAGAATAGCACCACCAGATCTCTTTTCGTGGTTGTCGTAAAAGTCGACTAAGGGATTCACCGAGAGGAGGGCCTGTAACACTTTCTTAGTATTAAACAAGCATACTGCGAAAAAGAGAAATATAAGCCAGGCGGCCATTCGTTGACTTAGCGAAAAACCTTAAGCAACATAGATACATGATTGATAGTGTGAAGAATATATGGCTAGAAAGGGGGTAAATACAGAGAAGACGGTTGATCGGGATGTATGGAAGACAACATGCTGCGCCAACTCCTAATAAATTGGGTTAAGGGCAGGTAGATTATGATAACGACGCATGCAATCTGATAAACTTCGGGCACGGAGGTAAACGTACGAAACGAATGAATAATTACAGTTAAGTATAATTATAATCATCCTCATCATCGTCATCATTAAGAGGCCTTTTGTTTAGCAGTGGACTTTGAAGGGTCGTAATGCTGATAATAATTATAATGATGTTGTTTAATAATCACTTTATTTAAAAGTTTTTGATCTTTCAGGTGGTTAAATTTTGTACATTTTCTAGGATTTTATTACTGACTCGGTAGAGTCGAGTAACTGCTATTTAATACTAGCTTGTGTCTGTTCCTAGTATTTACAGATAATGATTTATTATATTTACGCGAACACTACACATTGAATAAATCTATTTTTACGGATTTTATCGCGTTTAACTTATTTTTAATTCCCGACGTTTCGGGTGTTTTACAGCACCCATAGTCACGGCGGGAACTGAGATGCTTGACGTCCCGGATGTTAGCCCGGCTGCCTTCAGTTTTTGAATATTAATTTTTGGTACGATCTACGCAGAACGAGCTTACAGTGTCTTGGAAGTCTTGCAGTGCTTTGCTTGGTTTTTGGTTTAATTTTGTTAATTATAGGATCCTAAGCAAATGGCAGCATCCATTCATCTTCTCTATTGAAATTAGGATGTTTTTTAATTTCAATAGCCTCGCGTATTATCCTTGGTAGAAATCGGTGTCCTTTTGCGAGTATTTGTCGTTTATCAAATCTGATGTAATGGTGGGAACGATCTTGAACATGTTCACAGATTGGAGACTTCCAGGAAGTTATGAATTTCATATATTATGTTCTAGTGCCATTTGAATGCAAATTATTGACGATAAACCAACTCACTAGTTTAGATATAGCATTATGTCATATTTCAGTAATTGTCGTTTTAATTTATATAATAAGTGTGAAACATATAATATATGTATTATGTGTAACGAACAAGCTGGGATACTATTGTTCAAAATTAACCCGACTGCATAAAAAAGTTACTAATACTACCTACATATTATACGATTATAATTTATAATATAACAACTTTATCACAGCTTTACTATTGCTTTTAAAAATTTAAGCGAGAATGGTTGCTAACCAACTTTAAATCATTACAGATCCTAAATGATCAGTCAAAATGAAAATTGGCTAAAGAAACCTAAATATGATTATCAAAGATCTAATCAATAAATCAATATAAATCAATGATATCCCCACTTGACATAGTTCGTCAACTTTAATTTTTTCTGTTATTAAGCAATATGGCGTCTAATTGTCGCCATATTGAATCTTGATTACTATCATTTTTAGTGACAGTCACAAGATTAAGACAAATCGATTGACGTAAGAATAATTAAAATCGGCTTACTCGTCCGTCTTTAGAGCGCCACAAACGAATAAACATACATACTTATTTAGACTCTCTTTAAATTGTGTACATATACATATAGGCACAAACACATTACCCTCCGCAGTCGGGTAAAAAGCACCTGCCAATTGAAGAATCAGTTAACATGTATATAAGAATACGCTTTCAGTAAGAAAATAAAACAAACCTTTGGACTGATTTCCAATCCGGTTTCCGCCAAGCCTCTGACAAACTCTTCCTTATTAACGTTTTTGTTTCCATTATTGTCCATCCGTCTGAATACCCTAAGGAACCAAATATGCAAATGCATTAATGACGGTTTTTTGTTATTTTGTTCTAGCTGTTGGTAAAAATCAACTAAGGGAACATAATAAAAGGCTGTTGCATCTGTAAGGTAAAAACACCACATCTAAATGTCGAAACCAGCAAGAAGCCATTACCAATGCAATCGTTATTCCACTCTAATATGTGGCAAGGAAAATATTTCGATTCGACAATGGCCTATGCCCTATAGTGGAGTGTAAGATAACAAAGAGAAAATAAAACAGTTTAAAATATTTTTCCAAAGTTGTATATGTAAAAACAAAATACATGATAAATCAATTTACGACATTTTAACATGGCATTTGAAATTCTAAAAATCTACATATCACATATATTATTATTTGTTATGTAATTGTTAATAAGCTGAAAGAACAGAGGTACCTAGGCTGCACTAAAAGTATCGGGAATGGAATGTTTCCACTGTTCCTGTCATATTAAAATTTTTTAATTGAAAACTCCTTGGTTTTAAAAATCGAATACCATTTATTTATTTAAAAAAAGATTCTCAGTCTTGTCACAAGGTTTTGTCAAACTTCTTTAGTCGTTGAGAAAATGGAATCGACTCGAGAAAATTCAAGAGCGATGATTTATTATGACTTTCGAAGTGGTTTAACACAAAAACAGTGTGTTGACCGGATGATTTCTGCATTTGGTGATGAAGCCCCATCCAAAACAACAATTTATCGCTGGTTTGCTGAATTTCAACGTGGACGTGTCAAGCTCAGTGATGATCCCCGTCAAGGTCGTCCAAAAACTGCAATCACCTAAGAAAACGTTGACGCTGTGCGTAAGCTGATTGAGGAAGATCGACATGGGAGATACCGCGAAATTCAGGCAACTTTAGACATTGGCATGATTCAAATACAAGTAATCTTGCACGAACAATTTGGTGTAAAAAAGTTGTTTTCCCGATGGATACCGCATTCGCTCTGTAAAGAGCAAAAAGCGGCTCGCTTTACTTGGTGCGTCAGAACTCTCGAAAGATTCCACGCAGGATCCTCAAATGCTGTATACAAAATTGTATCAGGTGACGAATCCTGGATATACGCGTACGAACCCGAAACAAAAAATCAGTCACGAGTTTGGGTGTTCGAAAATGAGTTAAAGCCAACAAAAATTGTTCGTTCACGGAGTGTTGCAAAAAAAAATGGTGGCCACGTTTGTCTCCAAAACCGGCCATGTTACGACTATTCCTCTTGAGGGACAAAGAACGGTTAATGCAGAATGCTATGCTAGCATTTGTTTACCACAGGTCGTTTCTGAACTCCGTAAAGAGAACTGCAACCGCCGCATCATCCTCCATCACGACAATGCGAGTTCTCACACAATGCACACAGAACAAAAGAGTTTTTAGAGCAAGAAAACATAGAATTATTAGACCATCCGCCGTACAGCCCCGACCTAAGCCCTGATGATTTCTGTACTTTCCCTAAAATAAAGAATAAATTGCGTGGACAGAGATTTTCATCACCTGAAGAAACTGTGGATGCCTACAAAACGGCCATTTTGGAGACCCCAACTTCCGAATGGAATGGTTGCTTCAATGATTGGTTCCATCGTATGGAAAAATGTGTCAAATTCCGCGGAGAATACTTCGAAAAGCAATATATACGTTTTTAAATAGTAATGTTGTGCCACTTCCTTGATTCCCGAAAATTTCAGTGCCGCCCTCGTAACACATGCTGGTGGATAAACGATGCAGGTTGAAGGTGGCTCAGAACCATGTTTTATGGAACTCATTGGGGGAGGCCTATGTTCAGTAATGGACTTTTAAACTCAGTAATATAATGATGATGACGAAACACATACAAGTAGGGAATATATAAAACGGAAATTATAAACTACGCTAACAGTCTACTGTTAGTAACAAACATTAAAAATAAATTAGCTGGAAAAAGAAAAATTTACGTAAAGAAGCTACTGATATTATTGGTAGAAATGTGTAGTTATAATAGTGGCGAATTTGAATCTGGAAAAAAATTGTAATTTTTGTTCTCAAAACTCCAATCAACTTACATAAATTTCCTAATGATAATTTAAATAAATGCACAATAATGAGATATTAATTAGATTGTTGGGAGAGTTCTATCGAGAACTTGACCGACGAAGGATTGTTGCTTGTTTTATCATTTAAATAGTAGTTTGAAGAAGATTTTGATACGTAAAAGTGATGAGATTGTCTGTTTTAAAGTTTTTGCGCATGTGAACTATTAGAGAAGACGACAAAACATTCGCTTCGATGTTGATATAAACCTTAAGTTATTTTAATCGCTTAGGCGCTTTACGAACTTGAGTAAACGTCGTCATCGACTATCCGCTGGGTTAAACTGTAGTAAAAATCTCCCAAAAATTTCGCAATGTGACGCGACGCGTCAGCATATTATGTAGAGAAAAAATCTATTAAAAATACCGATTAAAATGAAGACATGGCTTAAAAGACAAGCGTCTAAGCCAAAAATCTTAATTAAAAAAAGGACATAGATTGTTGAGAATCGCTCTGGATCGTAGACAGAGAAACCTATAGACTAATGATCGGCGTGGCCTCGAGTGAGAAAGGACGATAACGAATTTTTAGGTTATACAATAATCTTTATGACTTTTAAACAAATTTAGATAAAAATTTTAATTGTCCTAAGAACTGAACTGAACAAGATTTACCAATCTTAAGCTCACAAAACACTTTTTTCTCACTAAACCCAACTTGTAAACTCCTTAAATCGCTACGCTGTTAAAGTTGTTTAGCAAACTGTACAGTTTAAAAAAAACCGGCACGGAGAAAGGGACAAACAATCACACCGCTCTATTTCATTTCTATGCAAGACGTATGCATAAATCTATCTTTTTCGTGTGCGAATGCAAAAGAAGGCGTCAATTTGTCTATAGGTTTCTCTGTCTACGCTCTGGATGGTGGATTGCAATGCGATTCACACAAACTTTAGCTAATGAAAAGTTGCTACTGATAGGTTAGTTTACTTTATTTAATAACTTTAACAACAAATGTTTTACGGTATTTCGGTGTGGGGAAATATTCAAATGGCGTCAGACTGTTTTTTTTTCCATTTTTGTAAAAAAGGGGAGACAATTTATAAATTGCGTTCTTTAGATTCGTTAGGGAAACTGTTTAAAGAAATTAATATTCTAACTTATACAAGCCTTATAAATAAAAATATTATGAATGTATGTAAACCTGAATATCTTATGCAAACAAATAGACACCATCTTAATTTAAAGCAAAGTAACTAAAATTTATAACCCGAAATAATAAAGAATAACCAAGATAAATATATTAGGCATTTGACCTATGAAAATTCCTTCGTTTGTGTGCCTGTTAAGCAGTGCGAGGCACCTCTCAAAGCGTACTTCGCGCTGGTGATTATTGAGTTCATGGGGCACCCATTCGTCAAGCTTTTGTTACCTTGCCTATTTGACGAAAATGGGCCAATATCGTTTTGATGCTAACGTCGAAAGCTGCTGTTAATTCAGCTCTAGATTGAGTATCATCGGCTTCCACAATCGCTTTTAATTCGTTACGGGGTTAACTTTTCAGGTCGAAATTTCGAGAACGGAAGCGGGCAAAAAAAATCAATAACAGGTGGTGCGTTCGTTTGAAGTATTCACACCGTAAACGTCATTTAAGTTACGTGCCGCGTTGCTGCCACGACAGTAGTCATATTCTATAATTACTAGAATTTTTAACGTATCATGATGACGAAAAGATTCAAATGCAATGAAAACATAACGCTTATCCATGGTGTTCATGACATGACTAATTTTGAAAAAAGAATTCCATGTTTTTAAAATAAAATTAATTTGAAAGTAGAATTCTTATGACCAAACACTCAAACATTACTCAATTTAAGATGTCGTCTAGTCTCGTGGTGTCGCAATCATTTTGATTTAAAGTGATAGAGACAACACGAGACTTAACGGCGTCTTAAAATTGAGTAGCGTTTGAGTATTTGGACATTACCCAAACACACATTATTTTGATTGGAAAGGCCAGTACTGCAGAACGGCAATTACATAGGTGTATTAAGTACACAAATATATAATACCCATTAAGTACAAAGATTTAAATAGTTAGATGCGCCTTCACCTTGAAAACTGTGGCATTATTGTTGGATGTGTTCGTTTACAAGACGCTGACACGCGCACACTAATGCAATGTCATCTCTTATTATCTCACATAAATTGTGTATACTACTTTCTCTGTAGCACAAATGAGCACTGATTGCGAATGAGTGAGCTCACTCATTTGAGAATGGACACATTTCGGAGTGGTCATACTATGGTAAGGGCGCATCTAACTACATATTTAAATCTTTGATTAAGTACACAAATATTTAATAAGGTTCCTGATAATAACCTTTTAAGCCCCTGAAGAAAATTTAAAAATTATATTAAAGTGTTCATGCTTCAAAGTTTACAACAGTTTAAATATTTTAGTGACCATGGAGTGTGAAATAGTATCAATCCACTTGAAAACCAAGCGTTATTATTAGATAATATTTTATACACAATATCATATTATGTTGCTATGCTCACTTAAAGGTTACTCTCTGCTTGCAGCGGCGTCGTGTGAGGGGTCCTTCACTTCTTTTTAATATTGTCGAGGAAGGTGATGGCTACCACATACGTCACTTATAGGGGTTGATCTGCTCCTCGGGTTTGCTATAGCATCGACAAGCTCCAAATTTTAAATATTATATTTAGTTTCTAATAGATGCTTTAGTTATCGATGGTTCTATTTATTATTATATTATATAGTCCTAAAAGACTAACTCACCTCTCAGTGCACAGCCCAAACCTTTATTTCGACAGTAGCTGTATTTTATGACGTAGGCGAACACTAGGGGTATGTTCCGAAATACAACGCAGTGTACTGTCCAATGCAAATGACGTCATGAATCGACGCTATACTGGTGATTCGTTCCAAAACATTGGACAGTATATGACGTCATACTTTTGCGCCATTTGGAAAAGTGTTGGCGATTATTTTGTCATTTTGTGCTCCAAAAGTCATTATATCCTCATAATGGATATACCATCAATTATTCTATAATTTCGTGTATTTGAATAAATAGAAACAAATTCTGGCATGCTTCATTCGGCAAACACACAATTAAAAATTGTTTTATTATGGCCGGATATCCGACACAATACGGCGGCGGCACGCTAGTACAATAAAGTGTCAAATGATTACGTCATTTGGACAGTACACTGCGTTGTATTTCGGAACATACCTTAGAAAACAACAAAAAATAAGGAGTTTCTGAAACTTTAATCCACTCTTTGGGGATATACCAATGGTAATAGTGTACGAGTGTGTGCGCAAGCATAGATGCCCTCTCTATTTCCTCACTTTCATAGTTCAGCAGGATGTTAATCAGACACGACTTGAGGGAGATCAGGCGCAAGACCAACATATTTATTGTGATACACCCCCAACTTCTTCACTCCAGGTTACTACTGAGAATGACTTAACCCACTAACTCATTTTGGGCTCATACCTTTACTTACTACTTTAGAGGTTAAAAAAACTTTTCTAGGTTGAGTTTAGTTTTATTTTTCATTTGTTTGCAAATGGGGACATAATACTTATACTTACGTAGTTAATGTAATTAGGTACTTAGCTTTACAATTTAGGTAGACCTTGATTTATAATTTTACTTACAGTAAAATTTTTTACTACCTAATATTAATGGTAGAAATTCTGAATATTATAGGTATTATGGTGTCTTATACCATAGTACCATTAATTGGAGATGAGACTGCATATTTAAGGCAATCTGTATATCAGTTTAATGGGAACTTATTGTTGGCTAAAAGGAGCAAATTGTGGATTACGTTATTGGAAAATGGATGGTCGATTTTTCTCAATTCTAAGTTTACCATTCTTGAAGTAACCAAAAGAACCAACAAGCTCCTTAAGAAAATTCAAAGAAACATTCACTCACTAGGTTGAACGAATGTGCGGAGCAGGGTATATATTCTGCTAGGGGACTCAATTATTTAATTATAAGCCTGTAATCCGTTATAAATACTCGACATATTTGCTGCATTATCATAGGACTGTTATCTTCAGACTTACATCAATTTCAAACATGTCTAATGTCCTAATAACAGCATCTGCTATATCTTGTGATTTGTGACCGACATTTGCGACAAACTTAAGAAAACGTTCAACAGGCGTACCATCGGCTTGGATATATCGAATTACAAATGTAAATTGGCCAGTGTGGGAAATATCTGGTGTTCAATTATACTATCATTGAATAGTAATTTAATATCTCGATTTCATCATTTATTTGTGTAACCATTTTGTTTGCCATGAACTCCATAAAATCTTTTCCCTTGCTTTCATATTGCGCAATGTTTACTTAACAAGCAAGGTTAATATTGTTTAAGACAACACCCTACTGCGGTTAATAATTACCAATAATACTCATATCATTTGATTACATTTTACCATTTTTCTTATATTAGGTAGTTTTTTCTGCGTTTAAAACATTTCCGCGCGCGACCTTTTATAACATAGCTCCCCTGCCAGACCCACTGCCAGTTCAACGTCCCGATCCCGCAGCAAACTATAATATTTACCACATTTATGTCTCAATCTTATGGTCAGTTCAACTGATCAGTTCAAACTTAAACTGTTGATATTTTTTAAATAAACTTATAAATAAAACTCCGATATTTATATATTTATAATTATCGTTATATCGAAAATTCAATATTTAAAAAAATATCAACAGTTTTAGTTTGAACGGATCGGTTGGAATGATCGGTTGAACTGACCGTGTGTGGCGTCCATTACATGTTTGGTAGCTTCGTGTATTGTTTCAAATAAATTCGAGATGTTAAAAAATTGTTGCAAATTTGAATTAATGCAGTTAGGTATATCAACCTTATAGATTATGTTATCATTTATCATATATATTTTCTTATTATTCTGATATAAATAATCATGTTATTTACAAATTAAAAAGCACAAGCGCTACCTACGTGACCAAAAGAATTAGGTCATTAGAACTTGGGAACACGGAACGGTGCGGTGATTGGTCACTAGGAGCGGGGAATAGGGGTATGGTGAGGGCGTCGAAACCGCATTTCTGTCATGCGCCTAATATTGTTTTGGACCAAGTTGAAGTATTTGTGTAATTAGGTATATTTATACAATTGTACATATATTCAAATATATGTACATATACATAATGTACATTATAAATTTATATATAATAAATAATATAGTGCATTGGGGTAAGATTAGTGGTAGGTAAGACCGTAAAATTCAAATTTACGGTGAATTATGCTATATTTTTGAAGGTTGTAATATGGTACAAGACGCCATTTTATTCTGCCCCGACTCCAAGTTTCATACAGTCGCTCCGAGAAGTAGGGCGTGTGCTGCGCTGTATTTTATAAAACAAAGTAATTTTTGTATTTTTTCGTCCGTCCGGTCTTTCCCTATCACTTTTATTTGCGATTTTTAGCGACGTCCGGTCTTATCCCTTGATGGCCAATTCTTCATCATGCATATAAAAAATTATGCCTTGTCTTCGCACACGTTTTAAGCAGAAACTGTTGAGTTTTGAAAAGTAAAAGCATCTTATAGCTAAATTACGTTTAACCATTAACGATTTGCGCCATGTTTCAGAAATCTGACGTATATGGATGACGAGAAAATAAAGTTTTTGCCCGACTATTTTAACTAGTCGAAAATCGTCCGGTATTACCCCAACGCACCTTAATATATATATGTATATTTTTTTTATTTTTATATATATATATATATATATATATCTCAACTTAGCCTAATGGTTAAATGGGAAAGAAACATAATACAAAGGGGCATCCCTTGTAATAAGTCCGCCATATGTACTACTTTGTGCATTAGTACAAATAAAATGTTTGCAGCTGCATAAACTATTCATGTGACTAATATTATATTTAAAGTAGATACAACAGAATGGAACACCTATAAACAAATGTTAACTTAGACCTTAGAGGGAATTAGAGGAAATCCTTTCGAGAGACTATGTTTTACAGCAGATAATCTATTTATAGTGATATAGATAGTAATTAGTAACCATTTCGTTTGTTATTTTGTGGGCCAAATCCATTGGATCATTAGTTAGTTTGTAGTTGGTCTTTGTGAAATTTAAATCATCTTTGCATAATAAACAAAAGTACTAATTCTACAATTATTTGAATTATTTAATTAATCTTTGAAAAAATTACAAAACAAAAAATACTCGAGTTTTTTTCTGGGCCGAGAAATAAGGTTATTATTTGAATACGAAATATTTATTTCTTACATTGAAGAAATAAATCTATTTCATTTCATTCCAAAGTTGAAAAAAGTTCTTTAATTAGTTACACACTCTTACCGCCAAACACAGTGTATGATGGTCGGTCTCCAGAATATAGAACTATGGCCTCACGAATATCCACAATTTCCAGGAACAAAGATGGCTTCTATACATATAGGTTTAGTCTCCCTTTGAGGGCCCCCTGAGTTTAGTTAAGCAAGCAGCTTTGTGACAGATCTGTTAGCTGAAAACTATTTACCAGAGCAATTAAAACACATTTGAAATTCTGTTGATTTTCAATGTTTAATTTAATTTTTACTAGATATAGTGTAAAAATAAAGGGTAAGTTCACTTTAAAAATTTCTTCTTTTGATTAGGCTGTAATAAAAACAATTTAAATAAAAGGTTGCTCACTGCATAGGAAATGCAATTGCAAATGCAGTCACATACTACATATTGTTACCTGATGTTATATTATATAACAAATTTGGAGCAAAAATCATTGTCCCAATACACATTACATCCATATCCAGGTAGTATGCAGCACTACCCACTTAACTATTTGTATTACTACATAAATTGTTTATCAATGCTAACCTTCCCAGGGCTAATATTCCGCAGGCGCCCCTAGACAGGCTCAGCAGGCGTAGTTTTTCAAGTGGGTCAGTTGTGTGGGCCGCAGCACGAGCACTCGTCTGCATTAGCTCCTCCTCTTGGAGGGAGATAGCAGACTGGGGTCGGTGCCATGCCACTGCAATTAATTTCCATTCTGAGACTACACTTTACAGTAATAACATGATGCCAATGACATATGGATCTAAGACACGGTCCTTTACCACAGGCTCATGAGGAAGCTCAATATCACTGCAATAAATGAATGTTAATGGACCAACCATATAGCTTGAAAAACCAAATAGCAATGGGAAGTAATGTCTTCTAGTGGCAGCCTCATGCCAATAAGCAAATTGTATACCCCCCCCCCCTTAAATAGAGTAACAACCTGGAGAGATTCAGGAAAAGAGGAGAGAAGAAATTTCTGTGCGGATGTCTTCAAGGCAAGAGTAAATAGGCTATTGTTAGATCAGTGAGCTTCACCATCTTCAGCTTTATCATCACTTATCATCAGAGCTTGAGCTAGCTTACAATAGTAAAAAGAAGAGCTAGCAGCGGATTAATTCCTCATAAAGAGTTAAACTATTCAACATTATACAAAATCAGGAAAATATCAAATGATGGTAATATTTTATATTATTCCCATAACTCAGCACTGCTTGGTGCCATATATGCTTGAAATACCTGTTTTTTACAGAATAGGGTGACAATTAAGCACAGTCCACCTGGTAGTAAGTGGACGCTGTGTCCCATAGACATCTACATTTACCCCCAATTAAGAATCAAAATGCAGATGTGTTGTCACCCCTGGGGACTAAGAATGCTTCAAATGTATTTCCAGGAGTAGGTTTTAAATTAAGTAAAAGTACCAGAAACAAATCATTGACATTCCACCTCAATCTCAGTTCGATATTGACAAATGAATATTATTTCTTGATTTTCTACTAGATCCTCCAGTAAAGTAAAAATATGCGATCGCATCAAAAACCTTCCATTGATAACACCCACTCCAAACACTTGTACACTTAAGCCTACGCTTGTTACGGTGACGCAATACAGCTAAACGGTAAATACTAAGCTAACAGATTTATAAGTTTTTTAGCACATCTTTAAATATTATGGGCGAATGAACCTGTTTTCTTGCAACCCCATTTGCTTTACCGAAGTTAAATACAGATCTAATGGTTAAAATGTGTAATACGTTATTTTAATATAAATAAGTATAGTATAGTCAATATATTATAATTATAATAAAAAATATCTACCACTAAAATACTTAGTAGGTGCTGCATAAAAAACATACGATACAAGCAACAAACATAAATAAATTTAAGGGATAAATAATAAAAACGATAAAGTACTTAGGATAGACAAGTGATCGTAGAATTAGAAATTTATTTGCTTTAAATAGATACTTACAGTTTGATGAAGTTTTCTCTTTGCCCGAATACGGCTCATAACTCGTCGGCTGGCTCATATTCTTCCCCGAAATTACAAATGCAACGCTACAACAAGGCCAAAGTATATAAATATTTAATATAAAAGAGTGACTTATATTTATATATGGTGAAATAACATCATACTTACCAATTTGTGATATAAGAAAGAGGAATCAAAGAAGTGATTTTTGATTCACCAAGTCAGAATTCAGAATTGTGAACAAAAACGAAACACAAATACGACAACCACAACAAGTTTTGAACCATGAACCATTGAACCAACGAACGAATGACGCCTAGTACTAGTACATACACATTAATCTATGAATGACGCATTGACGTACAGACTACTGCGCAGCACAGATCACTATATACTGCGCGGTGCGCATCACATCAGTGAGTCAGTGACGCTGACGCTAACAAGTAGAGATGTTCGATGATCATCGATGTTAGAAATTGAAACAACGATGTCTTAACATCGATGTTACTACAAGTTAAACATCGAAACATCGATGTTACTACAAGTTAAACATCGAAACATCGATGTTGCCACATGTCAAACATCGATGTCAACGAACCAATAATCGATTAATAGATACTTGTGAACCCGAACTATTAGTAAGTAAATATTTCATCTCCTATTAAAGATTTAAAATTTTGAATAATTAAGGATTCCTAAGTGCATCGAACTCCCTGTCAAGCGTGAAGTATAATGTCACAGTTGTAACTGCTTTCGCTTTGTTATTGTGGTGTCATTGTCGGTTGTCGTAACTATTCTACTAAAATTAATATTCAAATTAAATCTTTTTTCCCTTGCTGTCTATATACACATAATTTTGAAACAATATTTATCTACACAATTCAATTATATTTAGCTGTTTTTTTTGAGATTGGGATAACAAGGTTATTGTTTGCTTGAAATTTATGAAAATAAATCACTGGGCGATCGTGAGCATAGACAATTTCCCTGCATAGTACATTCTACAGTACATTTTATAAACGGCTATGGATACTTACTGCTTGGGCTGCCTGATTAAAAATTGTATGAAAAAAGGTGACGGAAAAGTCTATTATTTTGTTTTGTGAAGTTGGTTAATTTTCCCTCCATAATCATTTTTCTATTTCGCGATAGCAGTAGTTAATATAAAACTTACTTCTAAATCGTAAATTAGGATAGTAAAATTTTTAATACCAGATATATAATTGTATAGGAAATTTAAATATCAAAATAATAATATTCATAATTATCGGCAAAAAGTATAACAAATTAACTAAATATTTGTTAAGTTTTTCCCATTTTTTAAATTACTGTTTCACACTAAATGTTTTATTAATTTCTTTAATTTCATTAATAATAAACCATAACCAACACTACAAATTTTTTGTTCATCTAATTTTAACCTACTAAATAGGTACATGTGCTATATCATCGATAATGGCCAACATCGATGTTTTGAGTATGATAAACATCGAACATCGATGTTAAGCTATCGATATCAACATCGATGTCATCATGGATGTATCTGTAACATCGATCATCCCTACAAGGCTCCGCACCTAGAGTATGCCAAAGAGTAAAGTTGTTCAAAACGGCTATAATTTAGTAGCACGTTACAGACTATAAACTATAAGTTTCTAGCGCGCTATTAAATACGCTATGTTTTTTATAGGACAGGGTGACCAACGAGTACGCAGTCCATCTAATGGTAAGTGGTTGCTGTGGCCCATAGACGTCTACATCTGGCCTCAAATATGAATCAAAATGCATATGCGTTGTCACCCTAGGATGGAATGCCTCGTTTCCAGCAAAAAGAGTCTCCGGTTCTCTACACTAACCATACGAAACACAGTAGTGTTATAATGCTACTTTACGCTGGTATTCTGTGAGAGCGTGGTCCTTCCCTGGTCGAGCCGACTCATTCGTGCTACAGCTATACTAATGACATAGCTGCAGCATGGCTCTTACACTTTACATTACATGTCATTTGTTGGATGGACCGCGTGCTACATAAAAGAACATTATTTCGTAATAAGTCGCATTTTAAACTAAAATAAAATAAAGCTAACTAAAACAAAATAAACCAATGAACACTCTTTTATACTTTTTAGGCTTTAGACTGTCTGTAATCGACGAAAACGTTATTTTAATCTTAATGTAAATTATAAATCAATAAAAGGTGTATTTAAAAGCTTATTGATTGTTTATACAAAAATCAAAAATTTTCATACACTAATAGCTACAGTTTGGAATTATATCTTATTTACATTGAAAAACACTACTTATAGTCAACCAAATCTAAGAAATACCTTTCGACGATACACATTAATCAATCCGCAATAACTTTGCACCAGCGTATGCACACGATTTAAAATAACCTTTTACGTGAATCCGAAAAATTATGAAGTTATTTATATTTCATTACAACGTGTATAGTTTTTTATCATTAATTCAAACTTGAATTTTTCAAGCAAATTAAAATATTAAAAAATAACCACTATTAACTTTTTTACCTGACGTCTTTTCAATGATATGTCGCTATGTATATTACAGTAGTGTTTGGATGACTAAAATTCATTGTTATGCAAATGATCAGTAAAATATTCAAATAATCGATAAAAATTTTCAAATAATCTAATCATTAATTTTTTAATGTATTATTTGTTTAATTTCATTTTTATTTTCAAAATACCTTAAATTACATCATGAATCATGAATAAAACAAGTTTTTATTTTTTATTTTGTCAAAGTAAATTTGTGTAGGCAAAAAAACTCATATACAAGGCCGTGCTAAAATAACCACTACATAATTTCAATACCCCGCCATTTCGATACCAGTTACTCGACTCCACAGAGTCAGTAATTCATTCTTGGGACGATGTATACGCTTTTACAATAAAATCCCAGAAAATATATAAAATTTGACGTAAGTACACAAAGTTTAAAAACTTTATTAAACTAATTTTGCATAAAAAGGGTTATTTTAATATTAAGGAATTTATGGATGATAATAAACCCTGGGAAGGGTGATCGCTACCAAGCTATTTCTAATTTGTTTTGTGTTGTTAATAGTAACACGCTTGATTGTAAGCTCTTATTTAAAAAGAAAAGCTAGTCCTGTTGGCTTTCTTGCTGGTTCTTCCCAGGACAGAGTTTTTTTTGCGAACCAGTGGTAAATGAAAAAAGTGACTTTTAATTAGTATTATTCATAATCTATATTGAATAAAAAAGTTTCTGTTTCTGTTTCTGTTTCAGGAGCTTAATGTGCGTAATTTTGTGATTTTGTGTTTCTCTTCTTATTTTGTGACTCTGCTTCAACTTTTTGGACTGTTTCTTCTATACTAACTTTTTGTACATTGGAGAGCCACGCCACATCTATATTATAGTTGTAGTACTGTTACGCGCTCAAGTCAACGATACACTAGCGCCATCTAGTATCAGGAACGAGAGCGAGGGGAGCATTGAGAAAATGACATCACAAATCACTCGACCGACAGCGCCACCCGAAGAACTAAGTTTCTGGAAAATCTACACTCGAATACTCGTTGCCTGGCGCGCATTTACTTGAATGTTCGGGACGCTTCTTTGCTAATTATATAAATAGGCGCTACAAGATGCGATCGGAGCAGTAGTGTTGATTTGGCGAAACAAGCGAAGCTTCGGAGCGGAATAAAGTGAATTAGTGTGTTTAATTATTAGTGTTTTTAACTTTAATTTGTGTAAAGTAAATTAAAGTGTTAATTTAGTTAATTTTATCGGCAATTTTTATTGTCACGAACCTCAAGCTCGTAACAATTGGTGTCAGAAGTGGGATAAAATCATGCCGATTTTACCTAAGGAGGAAACGGAGGGTGTCCGTACCCGCAGTCAACGCCAGCAGGAGACGGACCAACGAAGATTTGGTGGTGCAACGCCGCAGACGTCGGAGGGCCAGCCACCGGCTGCAGGCCCGTCGGTAGCTCCTACATCTGCAGCACCTGACTTAGGTGCTCTGATGGTGATGCTGCAGGAGCAGGCTCGCCGACAGGAGGAACAGGCTCGCCGACAGGAGGAACAGGTCCGTCAGTTGAAAGAGCAGCTGCAGAGCGGACAGGAGGAACAGGCCCGCCGATTGGAAGAGCAGCTGCGGGGCGGACAAGAGGAGCAGGCCCGCCGACAGGAGGAACAGGCCCGTCGGTCGGAAGAGCAGATGCTCCTCATTAAGGACCTTCATGCTACCTTTGGGAAAGAGATAAAGGAGGTGAAGGATAGGGTTGCTCAACATGACAACCACCTGTCGGAAGCTGAAACCCAAATCAAGGAAGCTAAAACCCAAATCGACCAAGTGAACAATCGGGTTGATTACGTGGTGGCTGGCGTGAAGAAAACGCTGGACGACCTCAAACTGGGTGATGAAACTACAGCTCCCGTAGTAGCTACTACACCTTCGCTACGTGGGTTCAAAGTGCCACCGTTCGACGGGACTTCTTCCTGGTCAGCCTACAAAATCCAGTTCGAGGCTGTTATGAAGACGAACGGCTGGAATAAAAGTCAGGCAGTGACTGCTCTCACACTAGGCCTGCGCGACCAGGCCTTAACAGTTCTGGAAGCTCTCGGGGAGGAAGTGACTTATAAGCAACTCCTTGAGGCATTGGAGGCGAGATATGGCGACGCTCACCTGGAACATGTCTTTCGTGCGCAGCTTAAAGATCGCGTGCAGCGCATCAACGAAAACCTGCAGCAGTGGGCTCTAGAGGTGAAGAAGCTGGTGCGGAAAGCATACCGGTCTGTACCTGCGCTCATTGAAGGGAACCTGGTGCAGACATTCATCGACGGCATCCGCGACCTGGAAGTCAGAGCTGCTGTGAGGCTCGGGCACCACGAGACGCTTAAGAACGCCTTGGCCCATGCACTGGAGATGGAAGCCGTGCGGCAGGATCATCGTTCCCATCGCGTCAGGGAGGTTGCAGCCGTTACAGTCCGTGACCGCAGCAAAGGATACAGCCCTAGGTGCTATGGCTGTGGGGGAAAGGGCCATCTTCGAATCAGCTGCCCTAAGCGAACCGTGGAAAGGAGAGTTGATCGATCTCGAGAGGGTAGTGCAGCTAACGACACTGCCTGGCGGCGACAGGATCATCGTTCACCTCGCGCTAGGGGAGGTAACAGCAGTTACGGTTCGCGACCACAATAAAAGATACAG